GGTTAAGAACTTTGCTTCAGGATAAGAACAGAAATTGTGCTCCGGCGGCACAGCGGCAGCAGGAGGCCCCATTAGCTAAAGTGGTGCTTCAGGTTAAGAACAGTTTCAGGTTAAGTACAGACCTCCAGAACAAATTAAGTACTTAACCCAAGGTACCACTGTATCTTAAGGGCTGTTACATGGAGGAGCCAGCATGCTTGTTTTCTCCTGCTCTATAGGGTAGGACTCAAACCAATGGCTTCAAGATGCAAGAAAGGAGATTCCAACTAAACATTCGGAAAAACTTTCTGACAGTAAGAGTTGTTCGGCAGTGGAACAGACTCCCACGAGAGGTGGTGGTCTCTCCTTCCTTGGAGGTTTTTAAGCAGAGGTTGGGTGGCCATCTGTCATGGATGCTTTAGTTGAGATTCCTGCATTGCAGGGGCTTGGACTATAGGACCCTTGGGTTACTTCCAACTCTAAGATTCTTTGATTCTCATCCTCTGAATGTCCCCTTGATCCCCCATCATTTGGGAATGTCTTGTTTGGCTCTGACTGTTTTTTGCATGAGGTGGGGGGAAGAAGAAGAGTTTGGATTTGATATCCCACTTTATCACTACGCTAAGGAGTCTCAAAGCGGCTAACATTCTCCTTTCCCTTCCTCCCCCACAACAAACACTCTGTGAGGTGAGTGGGGCTGAGAGACTTCAGAGAAGTGTGACTAGCCCAAGGTCACCCAGCAGCTGCATGTGGAGGAGCGGAGACGTGAACCCAGTTCCCCAGATTACGAGTCTACCGCTCTTAACCACTACACCACACTGGCTCTCCACACTGGAGAGGGGCAAGCATGAGAACACAGGACAAGCTTGCTGGATGAGGCCAATGGCCCATCTAGTCCGGCACCGTCTTCTCAACCAGATGCCTGTGGGAAGCCTGGACCCTGGACCTGAGCACAGCAGCATCCTCCCCTCCTGCAATTCCCACCAACTAGCATTCATAGGCATAATGCCTCTGACAGTGGAGGTAGAGCACAGCACATATAAACCTCAGTACCCAAAAATATTCATCCAGAAGCCTAGATCTGTTTTCATTGGATTTCAAAAGGGCGCAAATAATCCAGGTGAATATCCTCCTCCGGTATTAAAATAAACAAAAGAAAATGAATAAGCAGCCCAGAAGCATCCTAGGCTGCAAACACCCTGGTGCTACAAGCAGAGAAAAAGTCATCCTTGGGTGATTCTTTCAATACAGCGGAGAAACGAGTTGATGGGAAATACTAAAGAGAACCATTATGAATCGTCCGATGGAATTCAAAATAACCACAAGAATATTTGTAACTGATTTTCAGATTTAAAACAGCAGCAACATTATCTGTGACTCAATTAAAGCCTAACAAATTGTTGGCAATGTGTCTGGCTTTAAGGACCACATTTTCACCAAAATATTTAGCTATCAGTGCTTCCTAGGAAAAAACTATGTTTACTATATTAAACCAATCCATTGTCTGCAGTGCTTGCATTATATGGAGAAAGGTAAGGTCCTGGTAATGAAAGCCCACACGTCCTGCTGTAACTCCCCCTATTTTAGCCAACCATGACTTTCCCATATTCTTCTCAAAGCAGTAGCTAGGGAGTCTGTTATGAAGGGCTGGGCTGTCTCTGCCGTTCCACCTCTATAATATGAGCACCACGGTAAGGCCTCTGAGGAGACAGACACCAGCCCTGTTATCTGTTGCTCTTGGCGGCTTCTCCTTTTCATTCACCTACTTGAGTTCACAAGTGTTCTCACCTTGGAGCCAGGTTTCTTTTGGATCCTGACATTGCCCTAAGAAAAGGTATTGCTACAGGCCACCCCAGATTCAAAACAAGTAGGATAGCTCAGCTTGTAGAGCATGAGGCTCTTAATTTCAGGGTCATGGATTTGACCCACATTGGGCAAAAGATTCCTGCACTGCAGGGAGTTGGACCAGATGACCCTCGTGGTCCCTTCCTACTCATCAGTTCTGTGATTCTAGCAGCCACCGTAGTTCAGAGCCTCTGTGCCATCGCCTGCTCCAGTCAACCCACAGTGGCTTCTGCCATTCAGTCAAAATCTGAAACGGGGTCATCCCCAAGCCAAATCCAAAAACTATACCCACTAGGCCACTTTATATCCACATTGTTCTTTCTGTGGGAAAGTGTTGATGTGATACTCATGCTATGCCGCCTTGGATGACATCACAAAAGGTTACTTTAGAAGGAGTTGGCTGGCAGTTCCTTATTGAAGAACGTAGTAAGCTAGCATCCCAATCAGGGCTGGAGTCATAGTATTCACGGCACCAAGGCCTCTCTACTCCACTAACCCACTCTTTTGTTTGATGTAATTAAACCCTTATGAACAAACTGTTCAGTTTTATTTTCTTTAACTTTTCTGTTTGTTTGTCCCTCTCCCTGCCCCCAACACTGTGCCATTGTTTGGTCCCACTTTAGAACTCTGGGGGCATGAATGGCTCTCTCCTTACTCTGCTTGCAATAATATCCCACATCACAGATGATCTAAAAATAGATGGGTGAATCAAGTGCTTGTGAATGGCTGGAGTGAAAAAAAGAGCCTTATTAAGAAAGAAGTTCTTCAGCTATTCAGCAAGCAGGTCTAGCCCGGGCCAAAAGAAAAAAAGAAAAAGAACTCTGCATGTTTCTATGTAGCTTCTGCCAATGCGCCTCCAGTGAAACCCAGAGGGACTATCTCAGAGCGAGTTCATCATCCACGCTCATTCAGCGTGTTGGCAGCTCTGCCAAAGCTGCCAGGAGAAGTGCCAATCGAGTGGTGGTAGGGTGTTTTGTGTGTGTTGGGTTTCTTTAAAAAAAAAAGTGATGTGGAAGCAATTGCATAACAGAGGAACTCAGTGACGGATGTAACTAAGCAGCACACATAGTTTTTGAGAAGGAGGTGAGCTTGGCATGAATCATAATCCTCTGAGAACAGTTTCAGAGCCCTAGGCAAACGGTTCTGTGTGCATGTGGGCAGGGCTTGAAGTTTGTCATCACTGAAGCCCCAAGTTCCTGTTTACCTAGGCTGTTTGCTTTTTATACTCATGGGTAAATGGAGAACGAGAACAGCATGCAGGGTGGTTCTGAATGTTACTTTCGCATGTTGGGGGAGGAAGGGAAGTACTCACTTTTTTTTCTGCCTGCACAAACTGACAAAATATTCTGTCTTCTACAGAGTGCAATCCTTTGGTCCCCGGAAGGGCATTCCATGGGATTCAGGATTGTTTATTTATCTGTTTCTTTGCTTTCCAAACTGCCATTCATCTGATCATAATCCCGGGCGGTTAAAACACCAAAAAGACAGCCAACAATTTAGGCAACAGCAAAAGCCTGGATAAACACGACTTCAGAAACTTATATGACAGAGAGAAGGAATTCCATGGCCAAGTGCCACCACAGAGAAGACCCTGCCCAGTGTCCCTACATAACAAGCTATTCCTGTCTCTTCAGCAGTGAGAAGGGCCTACCCTGTCAGTCTCAAAGCCTTGGTTGGCTGGTACAGAGAGAGGCCCTCCTTCAAGAATTTGGGTCCCAAGTTGTTTGGGGTTTATACGTTAACATCAGCATCTTGAACAGCACCAAGCAATATGTAGGGAGCCAGAAAAACTACCCTGCATAATTTTTGTCTATCTTCTGGTTACACCAGACAGAGTCCAAGCAGATGCATTTCACACTAGCTGAAGTCTCGGGAACTTCTTCGGTGGTCACCTCACACAGAAAGTATTACACAGATGTGAAGATGTCCAGAAACAATGGCCAGTCAGTACTGTATGCATTCAATTGCCTTCTGACCCCCACAGAGTGTCTGCACAATAATTTTCAGCCAGCTCCTACTAGGCTGGAGCTTGCAGGCTGCATGCACAGTTCTCTTAATAATAACAAAAATTAGAGTTAAAGGCACTCTTGCCCACCTGGAAATTCAAGCCCTCCACCTGCCACCTGCAAAGGCAAACAAGGAGACTCAAGGTCAGTCCTGGAGGCCTGGCAACCCTAATTCACATTGGCCAGCAGGTAGCCATTATGCTGCCCATCCAGAAGCAGCCTCAGGCACTTTTAACTTTCTGCACGTATTAGTGTTGTTGTTATTTATGCATGTGTCTGTGTCTGCTAAGCAGGAAGTGCAGAAATTGAATCGTTCTATACAGTGCAAGGCCCTGGCTGATACAACAGTTGTGGCCTGTGGTGAGGATGAGCATAGACGGGTAAGCGATTAGCACGAAGTGATGTCACAGGCAGGCACGTAATGCAGAGGGATTTCCTCTTCAGATTGTTGTATGAATCCACTTTCTGATGATTATGAATAATATAGAAACTAGAATACAGAAATGCCTCACTGAACTTCATCACCGCATACAGCTGAACGATCAGCCTGAAGTTCTTGGGGCCTTTCCAGATAATAAAAGTACTGAAGCTAACAAAAAATCCAGACCTTGATTGCGTAAGCTTTGCCATAGAATGAACTCATTGCCCTATATGCAAACTTAAAAAGAAATCAGGGGAGATGTGCTTTATCATTTATGAGAGTAGGCCAGTGGCCTTGAAATAACTGATTTGTTAAGGGTTCCCATGCTTTTCAGGCATTGACTATGCAAGGGAGGGAAGCAGGGAGCCTCCTGGGTTTCTCGCTACACTGTGAATAAGCAAAAGGGCACCAATGACAATGTGAAAAGTTGGACTTGGGTGAAAAGTTCTGCTGTGTTACTAGTGATGCACAGGCACTATTGAATAGGTGCCCATGGCACTCATGCACCCACATCACTTTGCAGTCAGAATGGATGTGGTAGCCAGACTGGGAAGGATTGTTACTGAATATTATTGGTTGCTAGTGAAATGTGAGCAAAGACCTCCAGCATCGAATGAGAAGCAACCAGCTATATGATTATTGCCTGACAAGATCACTGAAGATCAGTAGGCCATGGAAACAAGATAGGATGTAAGGCAGTGATGATAAAGATTATTACTTTATTTATTGGCTACCATGGGTGTAGTATGAGCTGGATAGCTCAGTCAGTAAAACATGAGATTGTTAATCTCAGGGTTGTGGGTTTGAGTCCCATGTTGGGTGAAAGGTTCCTGCACTGCAGGAGGTTGGACTACATGACCCTCATGGTCCCTTCCAACTCTACATCTCTATGATTGGATTGGAATCCACCCAACCGCATTTTGTGCTTCACTTTTTGATGTCACTTCCCTTTATTAAATTTCCTTCATTTAACTTTATTAGGAAGTAGCACTTCCTAAATTTTGATTTCAGATTCCATGTGTGGCAGTGCATAGAACATTGTGTTGCCAGCCTTCTGGAAGCAGAATGAAGATTTAGTGTATGATGCCATGCAGCACATGTCCAGACCAAGGACATTTTTTTAAAGCTTTCCCACTTGGAGAGGCTATTTACGCAAGTTTCTCAAAAGCCACATGAGGAGGAGGAAGAGAAGAGTTATTAAGGCAGCCAGCTGTTTCATCTCCAGTGGTTCCCATCCCTCAAAGGTCAATTGCCTATTTTTAAAACACCCTCATTTTATGCTATTAAAATGATCTTAACTCCTTGTATTCTCTGCTGAAGTCCACATTTAACCCCCCTCCCCCCCAAAAAAATATATTTATGTTAACTTTCTAGAGCTCTGCTGCTTTTCTGTACATGTTCAGGCATGAGAGGCTCTCTAGACACACAGCTAATCATGCAGTTGGAAAACCTTTCTGGACTGCAGGTGAGGCAATAGCCTGACTGAACATTCCTCCATCAGAAAAACCTCCCCGCCTATGGAAGAGGAGACATAAAGGGGAAGGGTTGTAGCCTTCTTCCTGACCTGCTAGTTTTCTCCATAGAGGAATGTACTTTCATTGGGGTGCATTCAGTCATGCACCCTCACTCACCCCCACCATCTGTAGCCTGTAGTCCAGGAACACTTTTACCACCTGATGAGCTTGCTTGTCTAGAGAGCCGGAGGCAAAGAGAAAAAGACAAGGGGGGGTACATTGCTGCATGCACAGGAACCATAAAACAAGTCATTAAGCAGCAGTAATTTATGCTTCTCAAGGCACAAGGTAAAAACTGCACTTCGTCTCACTCACGGTTTCAAAAGGCTTCAGTGCATGTGAGCTACAGTGAAATCTGCAACTGCAGCTGGAAAAGGAAGAAAAGTATCCATTCATCTTGAATTGCTTATTAAATATTTCCCAAGATGCTCCTCCCAAGAGGCACTCCATGCATTGTCGAAACTACTTGGTAAGAGGCATGTAAACATTGTGGCTTCCTAATTGCAGAGCTGCCATGTGGAAGCGGGTTCTAGTGGCCTTCACTTGATTGGCATAAAATATGAATGTTCCCCTAGCCATACAAGTAACTTGAAATAGCATCCTCTACAACACACCCATACCCACAGTTTGGGGAAACAGCCCTCATTCTCCTAAAATCATTTTAAGTCTGTAGATTAACATCTGCACCCGATGGAATGAAGGGACAGTTCACAGGGCAGGAATTTTGAGAAACGCAATTATCCTCATTGCAAGCATTTCCCATGACTGGATGCTCACAGAAAGGTATTATGTGAAGGTTTCATTGGCTCCCCTCATGATTACATGAATGACAGTCCTGCAGAATCAGAATTGCCATTCATTCCCAGGCTGCTGGTCAGAGAGAACATCAAGTGCCGACATTCCTCAGCCTGGAGAAAGAGCAGCAGTAGGCAGAACAAAGCCAGCTTTGGGCTCCCTGGGCTTTCATAGCCATTTAATCAAAGCAGCTATAAACACTCCTGTTCTTTGTCTCCCTTTGATTATTTTGAAGCAAAAAAAAAAAGTGTACAGGGATGTAACAGATCGCTCAGATCCCAGGAGCAGGTGACGGAGCATTGTGTAATCACGGTTGCTCCTAAATGAAAATAAGGCGGTGACCTTTGTCCCTTGCTCTGCTGAAGCATGTTTGCTTTCTTGTGGTTTAAGCCTGTTCAGGGCTGGGAGAGTTAGCATTTCAAAGGCAAAAAGTTGGCCTTCTAAAGTGTAAATGAGATGTGTGGAAGCTGAGCCCTTTCTCTCTCGATGTGAAATGTTCGCAGAGCTATCCCCATCTTGTATGCCGCACATACACCATGACACCGCAGAGCGGGAATACTCGGGAGGCCCCCATGCCTGCCAGATGCCCAGAAGACGAGGGGAGGAGAGTTATTAACATTTTGTGCGGCTCTCTGGCTCCCTGTGACAAATGCCAGAATACCTTGCAACTCGTAAATTATGAAAACGAGCTTCTGAAAATCATGAATATTTCTTGCCAGCCTAAACTTACTTTGCTTAAAATTTAATGTTCAAAATCCATTCAGGCATTTTAACTTCAGAGGCCAGGGGCTAGCCATTTAGCACTCTGGCACTCTATTTTATACCTTACTACTCTTGGGGGAGAAAGTATTTCCATACCATGACATCTCTCACCTCAAGGTTTTTTGGGGGTTTTTTTAACAGTACAGGCCTACTTAGAAATAAACTTCCTTGAGTTTAATTGGACTTACTTCCAGTTAAGTGTGTATAGGATTGCACCCCAAATGATGCATTCAAATCCAACTAACTGGAAACAGTGGTACCTTGGTTCTCAAATGCCTTGGTTCCCAAACACCGAAAACCCAGAAGTAAGTGTTCTGGTTTTCAAACATTTTTCGGAAGCCGAACGTCTGATGTGGCTGTCGGCTATTGTTTCCGGGGCGCCTGCACCAATCAGAAGCCGCGCCTTGGTTTTCAAACATTTTGGAAGTCAAACTGACTTCCAGAATGGATTAAGTTCAAGAACCAAGGTACCACCGTATCTGGCGCTTTTGGTTTTGCTATTTATTTTGCTTTTTTGTTTTTGAGGCTTTTTTGGTTAATTTGTTTTTGTGACTGTGTGGAACCCAGTTCAGCTGATTGATTGATTGATTGATTGATTGTGTGACTGCGGAAATGGATAAAAGTCCCCCCTCCAAACAATGACTATCATCAGAGCAAGTAAGGAAAAAAAATAATTTTAATTTTCCTCTTCTACAATACTGTCTTATTTATTTTATAGTACAGTGCATTGATTATTTCATTTTATGGATCAATGTTCTCGTTAGAGAACATAAAATTCATGTTAAATTGCTGTTTTAGGGGTTGTTTTTAAAAGTCTGGAACAAATGAATCCGTTTTGCATTACTTTCTATGGGAAAGTGCACCTTGGTTTTGGAACGCTTTGGTTTTGGAACGGACTTTCGGAACAGATTAAGTTTGAGAACCAAGGTACCACTGTATGTCTAATGATTTATGTGGCCTTCCCACCTGTTCCAGTCTTTAGGCCTATTCGGGTGTTGCTCCTGTGAAGGGGCAATAGGATTATGAGGGGGCTGTGGGACCATGACTTTAGCTATACCCACATTGTCCCACAGTTTGTGCTGGCTTCTGATCTTCCAGGATTTGAAAGCATGAAGGGATACTTCCTCTGAGTAGAAAAGGCTCCATAAATTATGAGCTGCCGTGTTTTCCTGTTATAAGGTTTCTTGAGCGTCATTTTGCCTGCTTTGCCTGTCCTGCCAATTTCAACAAGTGACAGATGAATAAATAAGGGGAATGAGGAAGCAAGATAAAAGTAAAATGAATTTGTTCTGCAGTGGTTTTGGCTTCATGCCACCTGGAATCATATCTGGATGTATTATCAAATGTTTTTAATGTCTCCAATTTCTTAACTTATTGTCCTTTAGTTGGATTCCACACACCCCACCCTAGTGGGGATGAATGAACCACAATCTAAATATTCTCATAGCAGTTTACTATCCAGGAACAGTAGTAAAACACAGAGATCCAACGTTACTTTCAGCCTCATAAAATGAATTTGTAAGTTGTAAAATGCCAATAAAAATTAAGAGCAAATACTTAAAAAGAAAATGTATTTGAAGTATAATAGAAACACCGGAACTGTCACAGCTACCAACATGCAGACAGGGATGGGGAAAGAAATTCAATTCAGATCACATTTGCAATGAACCTAGTGAATTTGCACTTTCAGAGACAATATGCAAACTCAAAACACAACCATCCTTCAAAATTTGCACATTTCCAGATTTTGCAGTCCAGTTTTCCAGCCAAGCAATATGTACAAAAATGGATATATTACAGTGAAGTGTGCATATAAAGGCATATATGGGTGAATATAACATACAAGAATGCATTGTATTAGCTGAACTGCATGCAAACATTATGTACAAACAGTATACAAATGTGTTCATTAGGATATATTCACACTAAAATGCCACATTAAAAACAAATTGCAAATTGCCACAGAAATGTGGAGGATTGAATCTGAGACTGGAAAAATGAGAAATGGGGAGGACTGAATATTGACAGGTTTGCTGATCCCTATGTACAGGTCTGATTCTTTTGTTGCAAAGGGTTGTCCATATTCGGATTTGTTGCTTTGTTTGGGAGCCGCTTTCTTTCGTTCTTTCATGGGCATAGGCTCCTTCTCTTCATTCCCAGTTGGAAGGGCTGCTTTGTTTCTTAAACAAAGCTTTGATTGTATTTCCCATTGATTTCAATGTGCCTAAAACTTTTATATTCTTAAATATAACTGGGTGAAATTTTGCAGGGATGGCAGGCTTCCGGGGGTAGGAAGCCTGCCAAATTTCAGACAAGCAGGTCCAGGCTGTTATGTGCTGGCCACCTTTAATTTTAAAAAGTTTCTATTGCTCTGTCAGCTCCACACACACCCACCCAAGTATTTTCAAGAGCACACACAGGAAATGTAGATATGCCCTTTGGTAAGTTTCATGCAAATGTTTACATGGATATGTGCAAGAGTTCATGAGTTATCCAATATCCATCAAACAGTGTTTGAAGCTTCTTTTAATAATAATATTTATGTCCAGCTGACATCAGGTCACACTGACATGAAGCTTCTCTCTCACTAACACAAAGGAGAAGGGATTAAGAGGCTCAGAAGTTCCCTCCAAGTCCCTCCCAAATCGCTTGGCTGCAAGAGGAACAGGACATGAAGGAGCAGAACCTATTAACTGAAGCCTTTAGAACCAGGTGCCTACAGGCCAAGTCAGATGTTATTGCGTTGACAGC